TAATAAATTAAAAAAAAAAAAAGAACTGCTCTCAGAAACTGGCCAATCAATATTTCATGATATAAAGGCGAGAAGGTTAATCCTTCTCAGGCTAAGATGTCCAAAGAATCACTTAAACGCCGTTTCATATATGTAGCTCATTTCTTTCTTTATTTAAAAAAAAATTAATTATCGTTATATTTATGAAAAAAAATCTTTCGGGCTGAAGCGCCACTCCCCAAAAATTAAATGTGATAATGAAAAACTGACTAAATGTAGAAAAACTGTTAAATAGAATAGAAAAAGACAAATGTTAATAACATGCAGGAAATGAAGGAAAAACATTAATAAGTGAATAGTAATATCTCTGAAGATGAACAAAGAGTCCGAAACGTTGGCCAGAATATATCGACATATATGCGGAAGAGAGGAAGAGTTTCATGCTTTATTATCGAAAATTGTTATATGAAATAATACAATTATGTTATGTTTTTTACTCCTCCTAAATGGAAACAAAAGACCGCATGACACGAACAAGGAGGATAATTTCCTACAATTATTCCAATTTCTCAACAGCTTGAATAAAATTCAGAGCCCGCCTGCTAATCAAATTCCCAGTTCACCCTTTTCTGTTTGTGACTTCAGATCTGCATCCATTATCTCTAATCTTTCAAAACCAGTAATTTAGTTTCCCAATGATTGTACTAACATTGTATTTAGAGGAAATCGTGAGAATTTATGAATGCTTTAATTAACGGCCGGAAAAATATCCTCTAAGAAAAAAAAATTATACAATTATAACAAAATTTATGTTATTTATTTTTGCCTTTGCTTTGCTCCGGATTTTAGGTTTTTGTTATATATTATATACTAATCAATTTATTTTGTTGGACGGAATATGAAAACGTAATGAAAATAAGAAAAGCTTCTCAATCATTTTTATTTTGTACCTTTAGTTCTGATTTGTTAAGGAGGTAGGGTTTATGCTATCCCGTTTTACAAATATAGCCCTAAAATTTGAATAATTTTTGTGTGAATCGGTGAAGTCCCCCTGAAGGTATCACAAATTTTGTAGTTGTCGACAAAATTTTCAAAATTTTTGCAAATCAAATTTAAAATAAAATACAATTCTTCAATATTTGTTTATTTCATGAGCATATTATGATTCGAGATTAATCTTGTATTAGATCGATAAATTCGTTTCTTATTAAGATATATATATTAACGATTTACAAATAAAAATACTATCTGGTTTAAACTTATATTTGTTATATATATAAATTTTCTCACATTTGCTTAGTCGGTTCCAAGCCATGGCAGTTTTATTATCAGTTTCTTTGGCATAATCTCTGTTTAAATCATCGAGTTTTAAAGTGATAAGAAAGATAAGAACAAAGTATCCTGAAGATTTATGACTAATGTTTAAATTTTTAATTTGAAGATTATAATATTTAACATTTAATAAATGATTTTCAATAGTTATATTTGGGTCAAGACACACCAAATGGAATCAAGAAAAAGATTTATCAAGAGATTTAAAAAAAAAAAAATCTGCCAATTAGAATCATATTAGCTTTACCATTTCTGTTAGTGACATAAATAATTACCTATATCACGAGGTCTGGGGAGTGATGTGGCTCAGTGGGTAAGCACTGACTTCCACAGCTCAAGGTCCTAGGTTCGAGTCCGGCCGATGACTAGTAATTTTTCGTCGACCCTGGGGCCGAGAGACCCTTCTGGGGCACATCCAGCCTCTATAAAGTGGGTACTCTTAATTAAATTATTTATTAAGGAGTGTTGAGCCTGGAGGTTGAGCGTGATATTGGTCTGCCATCTTCCTGCACAACCGTTGTAACTGTAATTCTTCACATTGTACTGAACCCAATACCCTTCATGTGTTGTTGGTGGTACAAGTTTTTTTTTAATACAAGAATATGATTTGTTGTTTTTGAAGTATAATAAGCCCTCACAAGCTAGCAGCTGTAGGTGTCATGCTCGTCAAATGGGTTCGACTAAAGTTAAGACACAGAGTTTAAAACTTATATAATCTCCCTTCCTCTATGTACATTGCCTACCACATTTTACATTTTCTTAGAAATTATATATATTAAATTTAATTGTTAAATACTAGGACTTCACCTAGACAAATGACTTACTTGGAATCCTCATACCGGACTGAAACGACAAGAAACAGCTCGACGTTTCCGATTACTTCAGCACTTACTAGACGAATGCTCTAAACTTCCAATTAATTACAAAAGACTCATATACATGACTATAATAAGACCTATTTGGACTTGCGGACTTGAGCTATGGGGCTGCACTAAACCATCAAATTCCTCGCGTATCTAATCCTTACAATCCAAAATCCTTCGTAAAATCCTCAATGCTCCCTGCTTTGTTACAAATAAAACCATCCATAATGACCTTTATGTTTCTTATGTTTCAGATCTGGCCCAATCCAGATACCTATCCTTTCTTAATAAACTTCAGAATCATCCCTACCCTCTCGTTTCTAACCTTGTTTCCTCTTTAATTCCTGATAACCCTCCGAGGCGTCTGAAAAGAAGATGGCCTCGTGATCTCCTAATGTAGACATATCATTAGAGTGCTACCATTGGGTTGTTACTCAGCAAGTGTTTTCACGTCATTATATCCATATTTTAAATTTACTAGATGTATTTCTTTAATGCAGTTGTAAAAATCATTAAGAAATAAAAAATAAAATAAAATCGTTAAATGGAATTTGATGAAATTGAGACTAGACCGTTTGTAGATTAAATTATTCCTCGAACTTCCTCCTATTTTAGGCCTAATCGGAAGCGTCGATTTTTAAATAAAGACGCAGTAAGGAATATATGTTTGCTGATGTGTTGGAAGAATTATAAAATGAAATTCGACAAAATTTATACAGCATCAGTTTTTTACTGATAGTAAAAGTAAAAATAAAGGGCAGAAGTAAAAGTATTGGATGGAATTTAACGTAAATGGTATGGAGCCATCTATCTGCAAATCCGCACGTCTGATAAGTTAAAAATTGGATTTAGACGGTTCGTAATATTCCCGAAAAAATAAATTTGACAAGAAAGCCAATCTAAACTAAATCCATTCCTTTATTCCTCTCAAAAATACACAGCTTCCCAACCTTATTTTACCTTAGTGAAAAAGAAAAATAGTTTGTAAAATTGGGGCAGCGTGAGAGATCCTAAATAACTTTTGACAACCACAGCAGAGTACATACATTGACCCCGCTTCGAGGCGTCAAAACCTAGCGATAAGTATACTGAACCTTTATCTCTAATTGGGATCCTTGGCGCATGATAACTTGTGATAAGAAAACATATCTGTTTGTTCCTAATTTCGCCGGTGCTCTTTTCCACAGCGTTAGCTCCGTCAGTCACCCCTGTGTTGGAGGAGTAATTTAGATTTAGATTTATTTCTGGTGATCTGCTCGGGGCCAATTATCCGGACCGCTCTTCGGCCACCCTCGTCCGCCGGTGCGTAGCTAAGGATTCTTGTTTTTTTTTTAGCAGAATGAAAATAATTGATAACGAGCTGTTTTTAGAAAGGGCCCCTCACAAACGACAGATCATCCCTAACGCCCGTCTTAATTAGAATGCTTATCGGCAATGGAGATTCTCCCGTGTCTTCTAATGATCAGTAGAGATCTTCTAATCGAAATATGAAATTATTGTTTTGTAAAGTGTTTTAAGCCTAAAATAAGATCAATTAAATTCAGACACAATGGTGAAGAAATATATTATATCAGGAGTGTGCAACCCTGAGTCAGAGAACAACAGATGCGAACTGATTTATCTGGCCAGTTGTTGCTCAATGAAGTTTTAATAGAATACATACACTCTTTTTTTACTTTCCTACCTATACTAGGTAAGGTAAGTATTGCGATCAGGTCAAATTTCCTATATGCGGTTTGTGACGGATCTATACATTTCAGAGCCCTCTGAGTCCGAAAAACACATTTTCAGCCATTGGTCTGTCTGTCTTTTTTTTATTTTGTAGAGTTTTGACTACTGATTCCTGCCACAGAAATTGGATGCTCCATGCGCAATAAATTAAAAACATGTTTTTCTATAGACTAGCGCGAAAACGGCACTAACGATTTTGATGAAACAGTTGTTCATGTTCTAATAATTGTCCTTTCAATTTTCGTACATAAACAAAATTACCGAAAAAAATCAGGAAAAAAATTTATAAAGAAAAGAAAAATGTTTTGGGGCCTAACTCGCTAAGTATATATTCTATGGTAAAATTTATAAGAAAACTTTTTATAAAAGGTAAATAAATTACAAACAAAAAATCATCGGAATGGAAATAGTATTAGCGATGATACAGCGTATTCTATTTTCTTCACATGTTTTAATTTATTACTTTAGCCATAATACTGTTTAGACATTTTTTGAAAGGCAATGAAATTCCCTACAAAACTAAATAAAAATCGTTCATCTTGGACAACTATTACCGAAGTTACAGCTGTTCAATTTCCAATGTAGGATTACGGGTACATATCGTGGTGTCAGAAAGGGATGAATGAGAGAAAAAAGATAAGTTAGTGAAATTAAGAAAATCTGTTGCCTACATCACACAAGCTTCACTATTACCTCTACTTTTAACAGAAATTATTGTTTGACAATACTAAGCTATGGCAAAAAGTTTTTGATCAGCAATATTAGAGAGTATTGATATTTTTACACTACTCTACCATGGTACTAGTTTCCTTTCGCTACTCCAAGTAGTAAGAGGTTTACTACGATAGGCTCTGTCTCCTTTCGGATACTTTCGGATACTCTCGGGTAATCTGGGAGTAGTGTACTCTGAGTGATTTTGAATCCGGCCACTATCTCGGAATAGCAAAAGGGAATTAGTACCATAATCATTTTATCTACATCGTAATATTTTAACAATATTTCTTTGATAATGTTCATCTTTCTTTCTTTTTTTTATATTATTATTTTCGGTAATACAGTATTCAACATAACATAAATAGTTAATATCACAAGAACCTCCATAGTCCTGTTCCCACCTTACGCCAGCCCAGGTGCACTGTTATTCTCATCAGCCGTGACTAATAGATAGCGCGGTTGACCTCGGCTCTTGGGTCTGAAATGTAAATAGGGGGGAGCTGGTATGTAACCTTAACTGTAAAATAAAAAGATACTCAAATGCGAGGAAAAGGACTGTTCAAATAACAAAACTAGTTCTAATTGTAAGTAAAATAACTTCTCGAGATGTATGGAATGCATTGAATCACAAAAACATTATATATATTTTTTTCTTTTTTAATGTTCCTAACATGTATCCATTGAAGTTCTGTACTGCTTATCAGAGTTGGGAATTAGCTAAGAGTCTGCAAAATAGCTATTTATCTACGATAAATATACAGTTAATTTAGCTATTATCTGTTGGATCGTAACTAATTTTCGCAGTTAAATTATCTGTTGACTAAAATTAAGAACTGTTTTTAATTCAAACAAGAAAGAATGTAATATCTCTCAATAAATAAATTTAAAAAAAAGAAGTTGGTAGTATGACCGCAGTTTCCAATCTTTTATCCATCATGATTAAAATTATGATAAAACTGAGAAATGAGTCAAATGACTTTCTTTGCTACAAGTGGAACTGGATGATTGGATAACTGTTAATTAATTACTTAAGATTATAGTAACAGTGTCTTTATGTTTCAGCCCGATCTCTTCTATTCCTAGGAAAACGGAAAATTATTTATTTTTATTTATAAATACTTTTAAATATTTGGATTAGTATTAAAGAGTATTAAAAAATACCATAACTACCTCTATGAGAAAACTTGCTTACACTTGTTCGTGAATCTTGAGAAATGTTCAAATTGTCAATAATGCTCTTGTTTATCGTCGTTATCTTCTGCTAAGGCACCGGAACGTTATCATTGGACGAAACAATATTGCACAATCCCAATTTCACTACACTTATGTAATTAAGAATGATGATATAATTATCAGTCAATGCGCCGTACATACGGGCGCGTATATATATTTTTTAAATAGGGTTTTCGATAAAACTAGACTATCAGGTATGCTTGAATCATGGAATCATTGTAGGTCATTTTATCGAAGAACGGTCTATTTAAAAAATGCTGCATGAATTTTGTCATTAAAAGTTCGAAATAGAACTGAAATTTTAATTTGTAACTTGTAGTTGGAACTGTTCATATGCTACTCCACTTTCAATGATCCCATAATAGCGCCATAAATGAAATCTCGATAATATACGGCTGCGTCCGGAAGTACTCGAACTGTTAGGAAGGGTGCCAACCTCAAATGGAACGTACCCTTTGGAGGTTTGTTTATAGCCTTTGAAGGTTTGTTTATACCCTTTGGAGGTTTGTTTATAACCTTTGAAGGTTTTTTTTATACCCTTTGGAGGTTTGTTTATACCCTTTGGAGGTTTGTTTATACCCTTTGGAGGTTTGTTTATACCCTTTGGAGGTTTGTTTATAACCTTTGAAGGTTTGTTTTTACCCTTTGAAGATTTGTTTATTCCTGTTGACCGAGCGTAAGTAGAAAGCAGCGAGATAATTAAAGCTAATTAATACTCCGAGGTTAATTATATGAAAAAGATGAGTAGGGAGTTTGCCGAATTTGTACATCGCGATATAAACAAATGAAGGTTATAGTGTGAACACGTTGTGAACACTCACCTAATTTTGGAATCCCTTTTATACCGTGATCATGAGCAGTTATGCCCATACTCTGTACGGTCGATGGCGCAAAAAACCAATCCCCTCACTCCCAAAATATTGCTCACCTTTGCTTAAAAACAAAGCAAAGAATTAGAGAAATCGTAGATCATATTCTCGTACAATTAGACATATTTTTTTTTTCTGTTCTTCCCTACCTCGCCTTTTAGGCTATACGGGATTTTTTCTAAAAAATCCCTCTAGCAGGGATTTTACTCATACTTTTTGTTAATCTCATATTCATCTGGTTGCCGGGTAACTCGCGCTGCTGTGCACACACGGTAGCCCATTCGGCCATCCTTCCCCTTCATGCAATCAGACATTCTGCGATATGTTCTATGTTTTTAGTATGAAACTTTTCATTCCAAATATTCATAACCCCGCCGAAATGTGTCCTCCAAAATTCAATCCCCCTCCAAATAAAAAATACGCTCCCCTCAAAACTTTTGATGCCGCAACTTACGTTATCAAAACTCTTTCTGGGCACCCCGATCATAAGATCACGGCCCACTCGTCAAAGTGAAGTGATAATGCTCAGCGGTACCAAAAGATCTTATAAGTTGTTTACAGCCTTTATCAGGTCCGCTTTTTGTGATTTTCGACGTTATTTATCAATAACAAAAGTGCACTAAAATGACAAAAACTCTTTTGTCATATGTATCAAATATAGTTACAATAACCGAACAATGATTTAGTTTAAGGACAGAAATACATTGGTCAATAAGAATATAAAAAAAGAATAAAAAGAGATGATTTTATTTTTTAAATGTGAAACGTGGAAATTAGTTGATAACTTGAAAACATTCTGTGGACGCTATAAGTATGATTGTTCCTGTAATTACCGTTTATATATATATATCCGCTATTAATGCTACAGAAAAAACGTTCTAGAATTAAACTCAACCATTAGGTGCCAGTTACTTCATTCAGTTCCCAATATTTGTGGCTCCAGGAAACTAGAGGAGAAATATTCCATTAACGAAATATACCCACGCAACTTGTAAGGTGTTAATTTACGCATGGTAACTTGCTAACATGACAAGGTTGCGTATCTTAATAAATTAATGTTTGAACCATTTCCTTTGCAATAAAACACGGAGAAAGGTCGATAACTACCTGATCGCCTACGTTGAGTGTTCGAGATACGCCAACATACAAGAAAGGATACTACGCTAAGTCATTAATGCATTCTTTTTAGCTTTCCTACATTATGCATTCTTTCAAACATCCACGTTTATCTACACTCATTTTCTTTAGAAGGAAGCAAGAGGTTGGAATCAATAATTGTTAATAACAAACTAATTACTCAACAAATGACCAGCCCGTCTAATCCGGTATGTGAGGTTACCTTTTTCTTGAAATTCCTTTCTTCTTTACTATCTCCACCGAGGTAGTTCAAGGCCGTGATCAGAGTAACTGTACCCATGGCGTCCAATGTAAAAAAAATCTGGTGCGGTGCGCGCATCACACAACTTTCACTTACCAACCTTGGAGCAGATAGGTATTTTCATATATATGGAACTCAAAGTGAAAAGGACAGTATAACTACATTTAAACAATTGATTACCATGTTTTTCCCGCCCATCGAACCTGTTAAATGTATACAATGACTACTACTGACTAATACTATGAATACATCCTCATTGCTTTTACGATTGTGTATAGTATCAAACAATACTAATCATTGTGGGGAAAAAGTGGATTTTATGGAAAAATTCTTAATTTTATCGGAAACCTTTATCACGAAACTCGGCGAGAAAATAACCTACCGTTAGTAAATATTGTATATCATTAGGTTTATATTAGTAGATCCTCAACATTCCACGTTAAAATCTTTCCTTTCAAAAATGCATGGATAAGTGATATATAAAAGTAAAACTAACAATATGAAAGCCCTGTACAGAGAGGTGTCGTGTGTCTGTAAACGGAAAGGTTCGGCAAAGGTTGTACGCTCTTAGCTGTGTCCGTCTCTTAGCTTCCAAACCTCATTTCTCATTTAGTTACCAATCAAGTTTCTTCATTCATTATATTTAACCATTTTTCATATTATTTTCTAATGTAAAATGGTTAATTATTTCATTTAAAAAAATGAAAGGTACTTTAGAGAAAGAAATTTTGAAAATTAGGCATGTAAATACTGTTAGAGAACTGCAATAACAATGAGACCTATATTATATTAAAACCCGCTTAATATTACACTGATATAATGAATTTAATCAAAATCGTTACAGCCGTTTACGAGAAAATTGTAAAAAAGCGTATAATTGAATATACAAAGTGGTACTTTCGGTGAGCCGATTTTGACGAAATGGTTGATCCGAAAATTTTCACGATCGCAATACTTCCCTTTAGTGTATACTATATGCATAGGTAAGTGAAAGTAAAAATATGGAACGGACCATAATAAAATTATTTGTAAATAAACCACAATTTTTGTAATTCTAATTTCACTTACTCACTGTTTTTTAAGAAAAACGGACAATGAATTGGAAGGAAAAGAGCGAAATGCAGGAGATTTTTGTAACTAAAAGCAAGTTTGTACGAATGAGAACTTCTGTTAGCAGCTGCCTTAAGAATCATCAAATATTCCAACGTTTATAATATTTTACATTATTCAGTGATTATAATATGTATTAAAATTTTATATTTTGATTTATTTAAATTATTATAATCAGAGATTACATAAATATAATCAGATATTTAGAAGATTTGGACAAAAAAAAAAAAAAATTGTAATAATAAATTAATATTAGAGATGAAATTACATTTTTAAATCGTAGGCTCATGTTAAATCAACAGATTAACATAACCTAGCTTTTTATCTCCCCTTTTTATCCCTTTTAAACATAACATTCTTTTTTACCTTCTTTACAAGCTGTAACATTATTATTATTTCATTTGCATTATTTTGTTAAAAATTGAAATATTGGATCAAATGTTACAATTCCGAAGATGAAATAGTTTTTAAAACTCATTTAAATTTGTTTTCGGTATCTAATGTTAAAAAGTTTAAATTGAAAAAAATCGATAATTTTGAATGGATATAAATTTGCTTCTATCAGGTATGTTGAAGTAAAAAGTGAAAATATTTCAAAAGATAGAAGGTTTTTCAGAACCAAACTTAAAATTTCATTTATTAATTTTAATTCTAAATATGTCGTTTACTAGACCATTTGCGTTATATTATTATCATTTAACCAACCATAGCAAATTTTCTTGTAATACTAGTTATTAATTCAAAGTTTTTATTATTTAAATTTTTAAAAAGTCCAATATTATATTTTTAATAAGTTTGTGCTTCAAATATTTGTTTTTTTAGATTCATTTACGGGTTTTAATAG